TAGTAGTAATAATAGTATTAATAATACTAGTAGCAAATCAAGCTTGTCTTCCTCTCACTCTTGAAGGCACAATATAAATCCAATTGCTTGTGTAAGACAACAAGAAGGTTGAAAACAACATATTTTCCTAAGATTTYCCCTTGAACTTCAGAACATTTTCTTGCTCTTGCATTGCCAATCATGTTACTAATTGTTGGAAATTGAGTCAACAAGCAAGTGCAAAAAATCTTGAATTTATATCATTCAGCTTACCTTGTGAAGAACTATGAGGTGCCAGCATGAAGGCTAGAACAATGGCTTTTTTCAGGGGAGAAGAATGCTCCTAGTTGCTCTGAGGGGTGGCAACTCCCTCTGGGGAGATTTGATGGGGACAAGATAAATGGGATTGAGTTAAGCAGTGAATTCCACCCTTTTCACTTCTTTCTTGAGTCATTTGATGGTGTGTAGTAATTTGTGATTCATATTTTTGAGGATGTGAAAAATTTAGCCTTTGGTTCAGTGCTTTGAGAAGTTGTTCTTAAAATGGTCAATCTTTGCAATGGCATTCTTTAAGCACCACCTCTACTACCTATCCATTCAACCTTCTCAGTATTTCTACTACATCAAACAAAATATCATATTAAAGTATCAACAAACAAAAAATGGATACATAACTAGTTAGCCACAAATAACAAATGTTRCTGCTCTGACCCCCTAACCCCCATGCAACTAGATTTGTCTCTATATTCTGTTTCTAACCATGTGCTTCTTCTTGTTATTTGGCAACCAATGGACGGGACCAAAATACAGCAGTTACTAGAGTGAGTTGACCCTTAGTAGTTACTACAGTATTTTGTACTGCTGTTGTTGTACACAGCCTTTGATTTTGATCTCTCTTTTTACCATGTAGCAATGGCTAGTACCTGAACTGAGTATACTGCATGTTTTTGAAGCCAAAATTGTCTRCAGAGCACATGCACTCTAAGTTAAACTTGTGGGATTAAGTCAATGTTGATAATTTCACAATCCTGGTACCCATATTGTAGCTTGTTAACAGACTTGAATATACACATGACTCCATCTGTTTTAGATTTTTCAACATCTACTATGCTGCTGTAGGTAATCATGACAGGTCCTAGCTACAACATACAACTTAAGGAAGCATTGGATCTGTCCTTTTCAAACATTTAGTGGTACCACCTGCAACAACAATATCAGCATCTGATGAKGCAGTAGTACTATATAWGCAGTATTTTCAGAAAATCTCACAAATCTATGTATTTTCTTGTTCTGTCAATCCAAASTTTCAGGTTTAAWGCTTTGGTCTTGGTGTGAATTGGTAATCTATAATTTAGATTCATGAGTGTGTTGTTGTTTTGAGACCTATATTTGTTGCATTGCACTTGTGACATAACAATGATATAATCATTGAATTGATGATGTTGACACCATGCTCTTCTTTTAACCCATCTGTTCAAACATCATCAAGAACAAGYTTCCCCCTGATTTTGTCACATATAATACTAGAACAAGYGTGTTTTGTTTTTATGTCCAAGAAATATGTTTGTGGTTTTTCTCTTGAAGGATTATAATTGTTTTAAACAAGAAGACAAGGCAGGAGTCTCCTCCAACTTTTTCCAGCTGATTCAAATCAGCATCTGCAGTTAAGACAATGGGTTAGCTAATTGCCATAGAARTTGCTATGGTGTATTGTCACATTTAAGTTTAGAAACTAATTCAATTTTTCCAAGTTCTTGATGCTAGCAAATAAATTGCATCTGCAATAAGAAGACAAATCTAATTTYCCCATGCATTACCCAATGCAATAACAGATTAAAGTTCACCCCTAATGCTTTACCAAGCATCTTATAGCAATAGCACACAAAATRAATTGCTTTTTATATCCTAGCAGTGCCATCATACCCTGAATTCAATTCATGCACCTATTATTCTTAAGAGTCCATTGGGGATCAAGGTATAACTGTTAGAGTGAGTTCACCCTTACTAGTAGTACTAGTTTTCTACTATGTGTATTTTCTACTGCTTGTCAATSTTGGGCCATCTTTTTTCCATGTCATGACTTGTGGGATTAAGAATTCCAAGAAGCAAAAATATTGTACTTARCACATGCACAGAAAACCACTATTAGTGGGAATCAAATTTGAGCACATGCCCCTTCATAAACTGTAATGTCAATCAGTTTTTTGGTGAAACTAGTCATTACATGCAAAAATTAGGGTAAAAAATGTACACCRTCTTGTTGTGCATAGATTTGAGTTCCCACTCTACAATAAATTGACTTTGCATTGCTGACTTWATAAACAATTTAAAGTATTCATAGCCCCTTATAATCAATTTAAAATTGATTTCTGGTACTGGTATCTTGATAGGCCCTTGTTATAAGTCATACTACATACTATTTTTCTTACTACTACTATTGAGTGGCACTGTTTCAGCTRATTGCATATACTTGTAGAACTTGCTGCTACTAGGTACTGTATCATTCATATTGTCCTGGTATTAGTAGTATGATGCTAGTAGTACTTGTTAGTCTCTTTTCATCTCAAGCACCTGGACTGCATATCTATCTCAGGCACATGTCAAAAATGTCTACTACTATAGCTAGCCAAAATACTACTAGTCAGCAATCTGGTGGATATTCTTATGTCAAAATACACCATTTCAAAATGTTCCTGTGCAAATTCTACCAGTAGKAGTAGTACTAGTCTAGTATTACAATTACTACTGATAATACCCCTACTAGTACAGTAGACTACTACTACTATTGGTATTACTATAATAGTAGTACTATCACCAGCACTACCAGTACTAGTAGTTCTAGCACTACTATCATGGTGATGTGTGCTGGCACAGCAGCAGAGCACAATTCTTACCTTGAAGATCATCTTTGTGCTACTAGTACTACTAGTAGTAGTACTACTAGTACTACTACTAGCTGGTATGTATGGTACTATCATTGTTAGTAGCATGATGATGGTATGAAGCATTTGGGCTACAGTAGTACACAGCTGTTCAAATTCCCATTTTGGACATTCTTTTATGACAAGTTTACTAGTGTTAGTAGTCCAGAGCTACTACTAGTAGTACTAGTACTAGCTACTAGTAGGGATAATACTAAAATTTGTTGGACTTAAGAACCAATCAATACAATTGGCTAATTTCCAGAATGACTGCTGGTTTGATTTAGTCATGATTGTCATTCAGGAYGAGTGGAGAAAAAGCAGATTTTGGTTTTGACTAGTTAAAATAATTTTTTGACTAGTAATTACTAGAATGCATATTTGACTACTAGTTAGGATATGTTTTTGACTAGTACATCCTCCAGTCCATAATAGTATGTGTCATCATAGAACATTTACTACCAAGATAAGCTTAGTAATATTAGGGCAATTTGAATGAGTTTTTCATTACTGTGATATTGATCTTGATTAATACTATTTGTATGCTGTGTTATGCATGCCTTTTGATGTCACACCAGCAGTAATAAAGGAGTAAGAAGCCTTCAAACAGGCCTATTTTTCATATCAATATTACAATACTGCCAGTTGAGTTCCAACAGTTATTTTGGGATACTTGCACATGATAGCCAAGATAGAGTAATTAGATAGCAGGATATTTTTTGTTTACTAGAATTGCTTCTTGATTTCTTCTTGTACTACCGGTACTAGTATCAGCCATTTGTTCTTGGGTGTGTTGTATTCAAAGAAGAGGTACACACCAGTGTCATTGTCAATGCAACCTTTACAAGATTGCTGTGTAAATACAGGTTGCAACGGATACGTATGCAACGTACGTACTGCATTAGAAGGATACGTACGTACTGGAAAGGAAGCATACGTACGATACGATGCTCCCTCTGAATGGATGGGTATACCATTCCTACCTACGTATCATAATATACTATTCATATATATGTATCATACGATCATCATGTTGATGATCGTGAGAGGTCTAAGATACTATTCGAGAATACCTCACGAAGAATAGAGATGTCACGAGTCCGGAACAGAGAACCTCCATGTAGAATCCCTACCAGGTCTACAGGAGGTTCCAATCGGAACTTCGGAATTCTCGTGAACGCGCTTGGTAATCTTCGAATAATTCTAATCTTATAATTCAATTTTCATACACACTTAACACCTACTAAGAGAGTACACGTAATCTCGTGCACAGGTGTGCATACACCATTTCCATGATCTGTAAAATTAAATAATTTTTATTCATGTGCAGCATGCACATTTTTAGTCTCCACTACTACTACTAGTACTGCTGATTGTTCTACTAGTACATGATGTTCTTCTAAGGAGCAAGAAACAGTAGTAGTAATCATTTGTGGAATCCACCAACTGCTGCCAAAACGTTGAAGTAAAAGTGGAGATGTATGTACAGGACCAACAAAAATAGGTTACAATGAAACATGTAGTGGGCCCCAGGAAGTAGTCAGAATATAGGTCTATTTACGACTAGTAAAAATACTTAAGATGACTCAATTTTGGTGATAACCTGAACTCTAAATTATCACTAAATCGGCTGTAAAACAAGTCCTCTTGAACAGATGTGATTGCAGGCAAAAGTGAAAACGTACGAGTACGAATAACGTACGTACCGTACTGTAGTTGATTAAGTATTCCGTAGGTATGTATCGTCCCGTACTTGTGGTACATTCGAAAGGTATGTAAAGTAAGTGGTTAGGCGTGCCAATCCACAATCCAATTGTATCGGCACGCCCGGCGATAACCGCTAAACCCGTGAGAAGGTTACTGCCACAGCATTGCTGCCCGTTAGTTTTTTGAAAACGAAACACGAGTAATCGGATTTTTTTAACGACAAGTACTCCTCTCAACAACGATACACCTTCCCAAATTCACTCCGAAGCTACACAACGGTAAAGAAGCAAAATCCCCAAGAAAACAAACATTATTGCTTAGCATTCGTTGGCAAGATCTCTCAAGAGAAACCAGTCTCTTACTCTTGAATTAAACGCGACAACAAACTCGATATTTTATTATTACGAAACGTTAAAGAAGATGATGTTACTGAGAAATTTAATTTCGGCTCTGATCGTATTGGGAGTTTCTGTTGTTGCCGAACAGCAAGGATACGACGACGCWGCCCAAGCCGATGATGCCGTCCAGGCGTACGACGATGCTGCTCAGGCGAACGACGATGCCCAGCAGGCGTATTATTATGATAACATAGATTACAGTGGAGCTTTTTCTGCTGGTGATGACACGATCCAATACTGGACTGATTATGCCATACTCCCGAAACGCTGTATCGTATAGTAAGTACAGTGATGTGMTGATCGACTGAGGACATCGATTCTTTGGATCTCTCAGAGCAGGAAAGAGAGAACCGAGCAACAAATTTCCAGCAAGGATAATCTAGAACACGAAAAACTCACGCATTCTTTGCCATTTTTWAATTCAGCAACAACGTCGATGTCATCGTATTTTCTGTTCACGAACAGTACTACAAACAGTGTCAAGACAACCCTATAGGAACATATATTACTCCCGTCCCAAATTTTTTGCAGGGATATCTTCAATATTACATGCAGATTCAGGAAGACAAGGGATACGATGATTATGAATTACCTGAAGTTGCCGATTACGCCTACTGCACACGAGTCGAGATTCAAAACCAAGAACTTTATCTGCAGATTGGATGTTCAGACGAAAGCCCCAATAGCATCGCCGTCAATATTTACGAGGACAACACCTGTACAAAGAGAAGCACTTCCATCGATGGGTACGACGATGCGAACATTGATGTTTCTGAAATCCAGGTAAGCGTTGACGGGTAGACAGACTAGTCGAATCTTTCTCTTTCAAAAGGAGGAAACCTATGAAATGCAGCTTTACTGGCATCTTAACCTCATCGGATTCTTCTACTTTTTCTTTTGAACAAAAGCTTCCTTTCAAGCACTGTCAGTCCTGCGTCATGTGGGTAGACAAAAATGACGACGAGATCGATGATATGTTTTACGAAAATCGGAAACAAAATGCTCCATTGTGTTCAACTGCATGGAATTTCAAACAAGAATGCGACCGCAAATGTCGTCGATCCGGACTTGAGTCAAAGACAAAGGAYGGGTGGAACACTCCAGACAAGGTATTACTAGCTATTCTGGCTGTTTTTGGATTTGGTATGTTGATAGCCATTCTCCAAAAGCGACAAAATATGTCAAACAAAGATGCTCTTTTGGAACAGGCGGCCATGACTGCAGCTGGATTACAGCAGGTCCATGTTATTGGAATCTTCTTTTTGATYATTATCGTGATAACAGTATTTGCGTTGCTGCAACTGAAGAATATCACTTGGGCCTTGCTCCTTATCATGAATACTACTCTTTTTGGATACTTRATGAAATTGACAGTCGAYAGCGGTGTCAGTGCCGGTGAAACAGTTATTGGACCAGATGGGACTATTATCCGACACGCTGATTCGGACGATTCAAGCGTAGAGAGTGTGACACAAACTCCGAGGAATAATGCAGGTACTTACATGCTACCGACAATTTCGTAGGTACACCAGTATTGGTGGTGTCGTCCTCGATGTTCTTGTCGACTTGTATCAATCCTGCCGCCATAGAATTATAACAGTTCTATCTTCACCGCGTCGTTATTATGGAATGCAAAACAAAACCATTCCGCAAAACTCATTGAAACTGTAAGAAAAGGAATTTTGATAAATAGTACTGTAGTAAATTTTTTTCATCAACCGATCATGGTTGTCAAATTGCGAGTAGAGCTGTTGTTGTGAGATGTGCTGCTGGGAGGTGGTAGTTACTCGTAGCGAAAAAATAAGCTTAGTCCAGTAGCGTAGCGAACAACATGGCGCAGTACGGTACGGTACGGTAGTTCGATGCGCGCTTTTCACAACTCTTAAACGAATGAACGATAGCGAAAAAGTGTTCGTGTACTCGTTACTCGTACTCTTTCCAATACGGTACCCGTAGCGTACGTACGACAAGAGTTCCATACCCTACGTCCGTACCTACCGGTACTGCTTGGTGTCGTTTCGTACTGATCTACTTTGCTGAGCTTTATTGAACTTTACGCTTGTACAAGTACTGTAACTGCGTAAGAACATGCATTGCACCAACAAACAAATGCAGGTGTTTTTGAGAGTGTGTCGTCATTTAGCGTGCCAATCCCCAGAGGTTCCCCCACTGTGGCCAATCCATCCATAACATAGCGGTAGCGTCCGATCGCACTCTATCCCTGTCACAATATTTCATACCGACGCATCAAAACGTACTCTTTTAGAACGGCAWTCCGAAGATGGGGCTCAAGGAAAGATTGCGCAAACTCGATTCTCACAGTTCAGTATCGAAGGAATTCCGTGTCTACACGGCCCAAGGAGCGGCGCTCTCGATAATCACATGCATAGGTACGTCGGTTTTGTTTGTACAMATACCGTAAAATAGGCGGGAACGAACGACATCGAATGAATCTTGCTCCAATCATGAAGAATCATTGGTCTCAGATATATTTGTCCGTGTTTCATATTCACAGCAATCATCTACTTGATCGGCAAAGAAATGAGCTACAATTTTCAGACCGTCATGACGGAACGAGTTCACGTCAATGCGACTTCCCCGACCGGACTCGATGTTGAGTTCGATATAGATCTACCACAGATAGCGTGTAGTCTTCTAAATATAGATGCGAACGATCCTTCTGGCCAGACACAATCCCTGCACTTGGATCGGCGCCACCACGTTTGGAAGCACAGAATCAAGGTTGGCGATAGCGGGAAAATCCAATACGTAGGAGATAGACGCAAGCTGGAGCAAGGGAGTTCGTTGCTTCACGAGGATCACTTGAACGAGTTGTTAGAGGAGATGGCGGAAAGGCACGGGCTGAGTGGTGACGACGAGTATCATTACGACGACGACGAGGTATCTTGCGGTAGTTGCTACGGGGCAGCAGACGAAGACGAATGTTGCAATACATGTGACGACGTAAAACGTGCTTATAAGCTGAAAGGATGGCATCTTGAAAACATCAATGATATTGACCAGTGCAAGCACGAATTAAAAACCAAAGAAGGAGAGGACGAGGGTTGTAATGTCCATGGTCTTGTGGCTTTGGATAGCGGTGGGGGCAGCTTTCATTTGGCTCCTGGTAGATCTTTTGAAACTGCGGATCAGACGGACATTACTGCCATATTTAACATGCTATTGAGGTAAGCAATGCAATTGATTCCGAAGAAGCRAAATGGTTGAAATTTCAAACAGGAACCTTTCAAATCTCAAAACTTGACGTTAATTTCCTGCAGCACTTTCGAGCAATTCAACGTGACACACACAATCAATAAAATACGATTCGGAGATGAATTTCCTGGAAACAAAAACCAACTTGATGGAGAAACTCGTGTGATCTCAGACGGATATGGAATGTACCAGTATTACTTCAAAGTGAGTTTTGAATCATTTTTTGGGGGGGACGATCGCCTTTCAATATTCTAACGTCTTGGTTTTTCCAGATTGTTCCAACGGTAGTAAAATTCCAGAATGGAACACGTATCAGTGTAAGTTGGTAGTTTTGAGTTTTTTTTTAACACTTTGCACATCGACTGCCGAGTTCACTTTCCGTTAATATCGCAACGAAAAGCTTYCAATCGCTAACTACTGTCTCTGTGTTTCTTTCAATCCACAGACTAACCAATACAGTGTGACCGAGCATCTAAGGCATGTTAATCCTGGAGGTGGACGAGGTACGTTGATCGATTTGTCTGACCATAACCATCATCTTCGTTATCGGTAATACTAATCAATCGATGCAAATAATCGCATCCATAGGACTCCCTGGAGTGTTTTTCTTCTACGAAATTTCGCCCCTACATGTTGAGATTGTACAAGACTATCGAAAGGGATATATTGCCTTTTTTACTTCAGTATGTGCAATTGTTGGAGGGGTAGTAACAACTATGGGACTTTTGGACCAGCTTCTCTATTCCCAAATTTGGCGAGGCTCTCGCGGTGAGGGCCTCGTTCTTTGAAAAAAGAAAGAAAATTGGCGATRTATCCAACTCAGCAATCATCTAATAGTATGCCAAATAAGTCGCGCCTACTCTGATTTGTATCTGTTTTAATCTTCTACTCTAAAACTCCCCGCTGATAGACTGGTATGAATCATTAGAAATTTTGCAATCATCACGAATAGTCCATCAACAGWTCCGCGGTGATCCTGGTAACATGGTGCGCACCAATAGAAGTTCGGATGTCATCCGCTGGTTTATCGTTGTTGTCTTCGAAAGCACATTCATGGTCGCACTCCGCCTCTATCGATGCACGTTGGTATGCATCGACTACAAAAAGGCGCAAGGCTTCTGAAATAGCGGTCGCGGCCTCCTGCGAAACTCTTTTTCCGGTGCTAGCAGCGTCTGGGGGGAAAGCGTTGACCAACTTTTTGGATACTTCGTTGGGTATCGTGGGATTATGCTTTGCCGTTGCCTTGTTCATCATTTTTTCATAGGCGTTTTCACCATCATTGAAACGTCGGAAGAAGAAAATAATATTGGATTCCGTCGAGTTGCATTTTGTCTTCAACGGTGTCGATGGGATGGTCTTTCATTCCACGGGCCTTCAGCAACCCACCATCGCTTTCCCCCATTTCAATTCTGTACTTGGGGGGACATGRAYTATTTTTCTGATTTTCTGATTTCTGACAACAACATATTACGAAGTACTGTATTTTTCTGACAACAACATAATCCCCTTTAAAAAATAAGGGCTTTTTTTCATTATTTTTCCATGAACTAACCCACAATGGGTCATTCCCACCTACATATTTCCAGGTACCGTATGTATGCGGGAATGTTTTCAGTGGTACCAAAGACATGGCAGGCTTGCTGAAATTACTTATTTCCCGCCCATGATGTTTGAAATTTGGAATCATTTTATTTAGCCTGCATAGCATCAAGCAACCCCAGCTGAAAATGTTAAGTAAAGGATTCCAATTGATATGTTTCTCAAATACTCAGATCTTGGTTGTCATGGTAGGCCCACAACAACAACCAGTATCTGAGTATTTGAGATTCATTAAATGAAGCGGCCAGTCAAAAAATAAATATTTCTGTGTATCAGGAGCCCTTTTCTACTAGGGGGTTAAAAGGTACTACTAGAATTAAAGTACTACTAGTAGTAGCTTTTAAAGCTATTACTTTTAAGCTACTTTAAAGTTACTTTAAAGTAGCTTGMAAGYAGCTTGAAAGCAGTAGTAGCTGTTCTTCATCTGGAWATTGACAGGTATACTAGTAGTGTAATTTCTACGTGATAGGGGCAACCAGAAATTTACTTTGAAGAAGTACTACTAGGTTTTAAGTCAATTTCTAGTAGCCAATAGTACTAGTAGAACTAGATTTGCCAGTAGAAAAGCGCTTTCAGTAATAGTAGTGGTGGGCATGTGCCATTTTGTATTAGTAGGGGATGAGCATGACTATTACTATTCTTGACTTGTTACTTGGAGGAGTAGTCTTGGGTACAGCAGTGGTAGTAGCTTAACAAGGTAACTGGTAGTAATGCATCATTTTGTAATGTCCCAGGTATGGAGAGTCATGAAGAGGAGTTCCTGCATCAACCCAAATGTTAGGCCTTACTACCTTAAACCTGCCTAAAAATGATACCACCATCAGTAGTAGTAGTACTAGGACAGGACTAGTACTACTCATAGTACTACTAGTAGAAGCTACTACTACTASTAGTASTACTACTACAAGTAGGCACTACTAGTAGTAGTAATGCAGGAGGTCACCACCACTACTAGTAAGTTTCTTCTTCAGGAACTTTGACTGGACCCATGATGTGGTGGTGGGCATTCTCTACTTCTGCTAGCTAGGAGATAAAGAATAAGTAGTAGTACCATGTGACACAGTACTACTACTAGTTGTAGTATCACAACAAAATGTTCATTTTTGTTTGCTTGTTGTTACCTTCTTGGGCAGATTTTCTCACCATATATCAACAAGGAGGAGGATTGTTCCTCACTTCTTTGGCTGAGCAAGGAGAAGGACAAGAACAAGAAGTGTCTTCATTGTTTGCTGTGTAAGAAATCTGCTAGTACTACTACTTCTACTTTAGAAGTACTGTAGTGCTTTAAAATTCAATAAACATTTAATTCTCTATGAACCACTCCCATCATCCTCACAATCAATGCTACTACTACTACTAGTATGTACATGCGTTCGTCTATGTTATTTTTACGCTTGTGCTGTTTTCTGTTCAGGAAATCCGTCAAACTTATCACGGCATTGATACCCACACAAACATACGAAGTACAGTACTGTAGTAAAATAGGAATAGTTCTCGGAAATGGTCAACCCCAAGAAATTCTAGAATTTCGAAAGTACTGCGATCGCAGCTTTGGATAATTATTGAATTAATCAGAGTTTTCTTCCACATCATTGTGCGTTAAATCATTATGTTTGGAGAATGCTGCCATCGAACAATGATATTTCATGCTTGTTTGGGTCTTAAAAGCAAGAAGTAGGTCGTTGAAGAGGAACGGTTTGGATGCTTGGGTCATCAAGCTGTTCGCCATCCGAAGAACGAATTACATTCGAAACGACCATTCGGTTTATTGCCAGCCTCGAAAACGACTTCCATCTTCCTCTTTGCGCAAGACGAAGTCTCGTCGTTAATTCTGACCGACCGTATTGGTCTGAAGCACCTCGACACAACGAGGATGGATTTTCATCGCCCGACAGTGTGTTGCAATAGCACTATCATCGCCACGATAATATTCTCGGACTCCAAGTATCAATCGGTCGTCTTTGCCATTRATGCAATGTCTTCAAATAATTCTGTCATCATTCMTTCGACCCACTCCCAACACAATTCTTACTTTACTTTCTTCCATCATAGCGGCGTCATGTGTAATCTCTTCTCATGGTGCATATTCATCAAAGGAATGTTCAAAGGAAATCTCAGTCGTTCAGATTTCAGATGTAATAATTGTTGGTGCTCTACTCGTTTTATTCCATCAAGCGAAGTTCAAGCAACACTATGTACGCTATCGACTAGGTGATAGCCACTATAATTCTTCACGACTTCCCCTTTGATTTCTTGGCTCTTTTCTTCGGAATCGGCGGCTCAATGACGTCATTTTGAAATCCACATAGTAGAGACTCCTTTGCAAGAATCTCTAGCTGGCATTGGATGTCTTCTTCCTCCTTTTGAAGACGTTTTAGAAGCGAGACCATGTTCGAACATTCCGCTTGAATGGTATGGATATCGTCGGTCGGAGTGGAACAGAAGGGAGGCTCTTCGCCACCATTCCCCAGTTCCACTGATTGCTCGCTCTTGACCACTGTCATCGCAAGATGAAGAATGAGAAAGAAACGTCGTATAATATCCTTGATCGACTCTTCGCTTTGCTCGGTGTGCTGTTCTTTTCAACAGAATCCGTATTCCGAACACATGTCGATAGTGAAATCGTCCTTCGTGGCCAACGCAAACACCAAAATCAAAATCGCAAGCCTTACGAATTTCATGTACGGTACGGCACGGCACGGCAATGACCCCTGCCTGCTTTACGGTGTACTATGATGACCCCTTTGTGTACGTACAGTACCGTACGCACTATCGTTTTGTACATACTACGTACAGAGGTACCGTCGTCGTAGTAGAATAACGAATGAAGGACAGACTAATGTGAAAAGTTGCCTGGTGGCGAAATCGAGAATATCGAGAATAAAACATGTTGCTTGAACAGATACAGTAAAACAGAAGTGGGAATTATTTTCTTCGAATGACGCTTAGCGACATTTTGTGACCATCGAACCAAGTGTTCATCACTCGTATTCAACATTTGAAAAGAATAGCAATTGAAGTAAAATGTTCTGTTCGATTTCCATTAGATTTTTAGCAGGTCTTCTGTTAGCGAACATAGCTTTAGTCGTTGTGGCCAATGACAAGTACAGTGATGCTCCCGAAGACGCCGTTACGTGTGGTTCCGCCATCAAGTTGGCCCACCTACAGTCCTCTACTACCGCTGCAACTTATCAGTTGAGTAGTGCAAACATGCAGTGGAGTGGTCAGCAAATTGTTACTGTAGTGAGAGATAAACCGTCCGAACATAAAACGATGTGGTTGATTCGAGGTCCCAATGACCCCGCATTCCGAAAACCAAATGCAGCTTGTGAAGAGGGTACAGGAACGCCAGTTATGTGCGGACAAATTATTCGCTTAACACATTTAGAAACCCAGAAAAATCTCCACTCCCATAACAATAAATCGCCTTTGAGCCGACAGCAGGAAATCACTGGTTTTGGACAAGGTGATGGCAATGGGGACAATGGAGACGACTGGAAGGTGCACTGCGGTGCCGCTGGTTCCAGAAAAAAGTATTGGCAGCGCGGGAACGATGTGTGGTTTGAACATGTAGATACCGCAAGGTACCTTGGGGCGAGTGATTCCGTCAAATTTAACCATCAAAACTGCGGGCACAATTGTGCGATCATGAATGAGTTGGAGGCTTTTGGTCGATCATTTCAGGACCAGTACGGAGCTTGGTCTGTGGAGTCCGGAGTGCACATCCATAAATAGGTTCCCTTGGGTAATGTATCGTACGGGGCACATGGTGCAGAGAACATATAGTCCATGTGCGATTGGTAGAGACCATGAACAATCCCATCCATTGTCATTTCATCTGTCAGTTGCTCATTATACGCCGGCTATCTAGCAAACATAAAAGTATATGATTGTCCTCAATCTAGATATACTGACGCACTCAGATACTCAAATTGTAAATTGTAGTAATGGAAGAAGCTATTTGTGTCATGAAGTATGAAACAAAAACTAGTTACAAGTTGTTGATAGCCTTTGAAAAATGCTATAAATAGTACTAGGATATGTGTCGGGTTGGCCGTGATATGGACCAACGATGCACAATTGGGTGATTCCCGATATTATAGAAATGCTAAACTGGTCATTTAGCATTTCTATAATTACAGGAATACAAATTTCAACGGACAGACCACGAGCATGCCAACTCGATGCCAGTCTTTTTGGGAATTTGGAATCTTAAGTATATTTCAACATAAAGCATTAAAAAGACTCAAAACGGGCGCCACCATTTGGCCTGGTACAAAGTAAAACACCAAATTTTCAATAGTGCTCTCAATAGAGTAAAACATGAACAGATTCTCTGCTTATTTTCAATTTGATATTGCCAGAAGAGAATGAGTTCATGTTCAACACTAAGGAGTCGACAAACACACTAAAAGACAACAGTTTCCTCCCAGCAAAAGAAAAGGCAACATCGAACATGGACAATGGGATTAGTGGAAGTGATAACAATGTACTGGTACCTCCAGTTGCAGTCCGAGGAGCACCAAAAAAGTTACAAAAAGAAACTGTCTCCACAAGAGAGACGTCAATGGCGTCCTCAGATATGCTGATTCCCCCTTCATCTACCTTTTCCACTCAGGGGATGACCAAGCTCTCCTAAACTGCTGTGGTGTCGACCACAAGGTCTTCAGGGAGCCTGTTGACCTGTTTGATCCAGTATGGAACAAGTACACAGTGAACAAGAACAATGAGATTGTGGAGGTTCCTTGTTATCCCAGTGGCAAGCCCAAGGGGAAAAAGAGGGAGGTGGACGCTGTCTGCGCTATTGGACTGGTCCTTTACTGGTACAGGACAAGGGGATCGGTAGCAAGGTCAATGGCAATGGAGTTTGGCTTGACATCCACAGTGATGTATAAGTGGCTCAAGTTTGCAAGGAGAGTGATGCTTGTTGCCCTTCACAAACACGCAGATGCCATGGTCAGTGTTCCAACTGAGGTTGAAGTGGATGCTTATGTTAAGGCTATTGGAGACAAGTATCCAAGGCCTGGAGAGCAACTCATCTGGGGTGCTGCGGATGGGCTCAAGCAAGTGATTGAAGCCTCAGGAGACTGGTATAAAAAAAGACCATTTTACAATGCGTGGAAGGAGAACACCTATGTCAACAGTGTATTTGCCTTTGCCCCTGATGGAAGGATCAGGATAGCAGTGTACAACTGCCCGGGGTATGGCATGACAGTGCGATTGCTGAGCATGGTGTGTACCGACAAATTGTGAACGTCCACAAAGAGTGTAATGGTGCAAAGGTTGTTGTGGATTTGGCATTTGCTCTGAAAGAATACAAGGACAGCCTCATCAAGAGCTCACAGAGGGACCCAGATCAACCGCATTTGATAATCCTCAACAGGGATGCCACGTCATTGAGACAGRTGTCTGAATGGGGGATGAGGATGTTTCAAGGACAGTTACCACGAATCAAGGACAGAATGTGCTTGGAGGAGTATGGGGAAAGAAGAATCACAATGAATCTTCCTATCAACTTGTACAACTTCCAATGCAGTACCATTGGACACAACCAGATCCTATTGACCTTCATGAGGACATCACCAGCAACTGATATGACAATTCCTTATGAAGAGTTAAGGAATGACCTCGTAGGAAGATACTTTCATGTAGGACGCCGGCTCTCCGTGGATGGAAATGGAGTGTTCCAAGGGTGAATCCCATGGTTGGGAGGGTACATCCCATGGTCGGTTGGTTGCTGTGAACAAGAAAGTTTAGTTACAAATGTTAGAATGGGATATGGTGGTGGTGATACGGCAACGTGATACGGCAACGTGATACGGCAACGCGATACAGCAACTCGCGGTTCTCTTTGTCTCTTCTTTCCTCTCTTTTTTCCTGGCTCTTAATGTATTCATTGAATACAGCAGCATCAGGGACACTAGTAGATTTTCTCTGACATTGCTGATAAGATCTCTTATTACTAGGGGCTGATTCAACAAGGGAGGGTGTCAAGTTACTGGAGGAAGCTACAGCTGCAAACTCTTCCCGCTCCTGTTGGTCGTCCACATCATCAGTGTTGTCCGTGGATGCATCTCCAGCAAGAATAATGGAAGCCCTGGTGCTGGAAGAAGCCCTGTCAGCTGACAAAACTCCATCTGGAAGAAGCTCTAAACCTGCCACAGCCTCACTCTTAGCAAAGCCTTCTGTGATATCAAAGTCCTCCTCTCCAGTTCCAAGATTTGCTTTTTCACCAATCAACTTGTGGGCTAGCCGGGCCATCCTCACGTACTCCAGCATGTTGGGATTTCTGGTGGAGCTCTTGATCCTCTTCACAGCTGCATACTTAGTCTTGAGGGAGGTCGTGGTCCTACCAACAGGCCAACTCTCAGCATGCTTTGCTGTAATGTACTCCCATCCCTCACCACACATGGGGAGTACATCCAATATCAACCTCATGAGACTGGTGAGCTCAGGCCAAGAGTAGTTAATAGTGCCACTCTTCCGGCCACCACCACCACCAGCAGTTCAATCCATCTTAACAAATATAGTGTGGGGAATCGGTGGACAATGGTGTGTTCCCTCCTCCTCTTTGAGGTCAATGACGCCGGCCTCCTCCTTTTGGTGCTCTCTTTGCTGCAACAAAGAAAGGAAATAAAATGTACTGACTAACAGCACTGATTGAGACATAGTTTATGTCCCTGGTGGGCGCCATTCTTATTAGAGGCGCCTCAAATCTTGTCGTTGATAGCCATGACGGATACTTGTTTGTTGTTGTTTAGAAAAAAAGAGGAGTTGGTCCAGTCTTAATTTTGGCGGGCCTTTCTGTTGAATCTTACAACAGACTCAAAATTTTGATTCGTGGGTTCCATAAGAGATTTAGCACGTTTAGAATGGGGTCGGTTGACCCATTCTAAAAATGCTAAATCTGTTACAAAATGTGCTACATTTTTCATCCGTCCATCTATCAAATTTAGCATTTCTATGATATTGGGAATAACCCATTGCATAGCTACCCAATTTCACCAGAAAGGTGCGTTATCAAAACAATTAGAATTTTCCTACCTAAATRTTCTACAGTCTGCACTCCTTTTGTGTTCTGAAGATGAAATTTGATACACCAAATCACCAGTAAAGAGCTTTTCACATTGTTACCTTTATACATACTAGTAGTAATACAAAATGATGTGATTGCAAGAATGATGAGCGGCGATGATATCAATTGTAGCTGACTATTCATTCTTCATCATGTAGTTGTAGACTACAGTGCTATTGTTCACTTGAAGTAATGGGTCATACCTGTTATTATAAGAGTAATAAACAGACTGGTTTAGCCCATTTATGCCAATGAATAATGGGAATCAAATTTTCAACGGACAGACAGCAGGGAATGCTGGCTTGATGCCAGTCATCTTGGTAATTTGAATCTTAGCTGTACTTCAACATAAAGACTAAAAAGAGGTTCAGACACAATTTTCAATCCTCCAACTGGTACAAGAAAAACACTACTAGTACTACTCCTACTACTAGTACCACCACCACCACTACTAGTACTACTAGTAAAAGGAATAGACAAATTTCCAAAACTTATAATACTAGTATTGAAAATTTGTGGTTTCCTTGCACTATTTTTAGACCAGACTTTCCTCCTACTAGTACTAGCAAGAAGGAACCACAACAACAATGGGAGTCATGGAGATCATTGTGATAGTATACTGATACATTCAGTTGAATGACTAGTAGCAGCAACCCCAACAAAGTTATTTAAAAAAACTATCCCCAGAAGAGAGGCAGAGGAGGGACAGAAGAACACCTAAACTTGCAATCTGTAGATATCCTCAATCTGCCTTCCATCATCTCTTCCACTCAGGGCTTGATTAAGCACTTCTTAACAACAACTGCTGTGGTGTAGACCACAAGAAGGTCTTCAATAGAGAGAAGAAACTTGAAGTCTTTGCTTTAGTTTACAACAAGTAGACCATCAACAAGGACCATGAGATCATAGAAGCTCCTTGCTATTCCCACAGAAAGCCCAAGGAGAAAAGGAAGGATGTTGACACAATCTGGTGTACTATTGGTCTGGTGCTCTATTGGTTCAGAACAAGAGGATCAGTTGCTAGATCAATGGCCATACTGGCCTTTGGCTTGCCATCCACAGTGGTGTACAAGAGGCTCAAGTTTTCCAGGAGAGTTCTCCTCCTTGTTCTCCAAAAACATCCACCATTTGCCATGGCTGGTCAGTGTTCAAACATGCAAGAAGTGGATAATTACATTCCAGCTATTGGAAACAAGTATCCCAGACTTAGGGAAGAACATGTTTGGGCTGCAACAGATGGGCTGGATGCCATTCAACAAGCCTCTGAAGACTGGATAGTAAAATAGAGACCACTCTACAACAGCTGCTGGAAAGGAAACACCATCATCAATACTAGTGTGTTTGTCTTTGGCCCTAATGGAAGGATTAGGATCTCAGTCCAAAAGAAGCACCATCACCAGGAACACTAGAGGAGTTCTTCACACCAAAATGATATGAATATCTTCTTAGGGGTTAGTGTCAACAACAACTTTGATGCTGTTTCCTCTACTATTGGTGATACTCCTCCAGCAGCAGCAACATTTTACACTCCCCTAGCAGCAGCAGTCAGTTTTTCCACCCTGCAGCAGTTGCTGATGCTCATATACTAGTCAATGCTTCAGGCAGCTCTAAAACCTCCCCAGCCCCACTCTTAATGAAGCCTTGCTCTAGATCAAACAAGCTCTCCTCTCCAGTACCAAGATTTGCCTTCCGACCAATCAAGATACTATGGGTCTCCTTCCTTGCAAACTTTATGTACTCTCATGGAAAATTTTGATTTCCTGTTGACCTCTTCTTTCTCTTCACAGAGGTGTATTTGATCCTGATGGATTTCTTGCTTCTGAAGAAGGGCTATCTTGCTGCATACTTCATGACTAGTACTACCGCGTCCCACTGATGTCCATCAATGAGAAGGATCTTCACCAATATCAATCTCATGAGGCTATATTGTACTACTTACTTGTCAACAGAGTAGTTTGCTTCACTGGCCTTGTGGTTGCTGTTGCCAGTTTGATCTATCTGAATAAAAATAGTATGGGAGATGGGTCAAACTGATGCCTCTTTCTTGCTGCTGTCACCAGCCTTTCTTTCCTCCTCCTGCTGCTGTTACTAGTACTCTCTTTGCTGCAGCAAAGAAGAAAGGATATCATAGAGTGTAAGGCTGACTAATAAGAAGAGCACCGATCTGGCAGGCATTATTTATGTGGTACCATAGTAGTTGATAGTAGAGGCACCATTGTTACTAAAAGAGGCACCTCTTGACAGAGGCACATCTCTTTCTTGTTCTTGTTTAGGGGGATACCCTAGTAGGAGAGTCTTAATTTTGTTGAGCTTTATCTTAGATTTCGGCAGACTTTCTGCTGTTGAATCTTTTGTTACAACAGACTTGAAATTTTGATTCTTGAGTTCCACAATAATAACAGGAATGACACAATGGGTCATTCCTGATAACATTAGAATATGTCTTTTTTGACCGGCCACCTCAATTTATGTATTTCAAATACTCAGATACTGGTTGTAGTGGGCCCCCGACAACCAAGATCTGCTGTGTATTTGACATAAATATTTATTGGAACCCTTGACTTAAAAATATATTTTCAGTCTCATGAGATGGTGCTCCCTAAAGACAGGAGTCACTTGGTGGATTCCTCCGAATTCCAAAAATGGGGGGGAATATGTACTACTAGTACTACTAGTAGTAGTAGTACCTTCAGCGAGCTTGCAGAGTCTTAAATATCACTGAAAATGATTCCTGAATGCATTTATGATATTATTTTATTGGGAATGACCTGACCCAATACAGCAATACCATATGAAATACCCTAAGTCGCCCCTCTCCCCCCCAAAAGGGGGATTCACTGGTTTCATATCATTTACCCCGAATCTTACCACCGTACCGCCCGTTATGAACGACTCTCTACTACGAGTACGCTGTTCATCTATTGTAAAATTGTTCGCCTTCAGAGTTGTCCAAGATCAGGAGTTGACAACCCTGAAGTAGTTCACAAGTACGTAGTAGTAAGCAGGGGTCATAAAGTAGGAGGGGTGCACATCGATTTTCCATGCGCTAAGATTTTGCAACGAAAAATCAAAAATCATATTCCATCCTCGGTCCCAAAATTAAAAAATCAGCTTMAGGAATTTTTATAATTCTAATTTTTACTGCATAATACTAGTAAAACTATCCAACTTTTAAGTAGTCATAACTTTATAAAAAATAGTAATAATATAATTTTTGAAGACACTGTCTACACCAGTTTTTTATGAGGATTCTGAATATACCATTTTGTCAAGTATCAAATGGATCTTTAGTGTACCTTTTTAATTGTATTGGAGTACTAGTACTAATGCCACGAGCAGTAGTAGTAGTACTGGTGGTGCTGGTAACAGGAATACTGGTAATACTAGTAGTGCTACTAGGAGAACCTGGATGTTCTTGTAGGACTAGGACTAGGACCAGTAATAGTAGTAGTAGTAGTGGTACTCCTATTTATTCTAGTAATGTTTAGTAGGAGTACCAATACTACTACGAGTACTACTACTAGTACTACTACTAGTGGTAAAAGATATGAAGTCCCTACNGTATCAAATGGATCTTTAGTGTACCTTTTTAATTGTATTGGAGTACTAGTACTAATGCCACGAGCAGTAGTAGTAGTACTGGTGGTGCTGGTAATGGGAATACTTGTGGATGTGATTGGTTCAAGAAAGAGATCCAATAGAAGTGATGGAGATGATAGCAGCAGCAGGAATGCAACAAGGAAGGAGGAACTGTAGGAGGAAGAGGAACAAAGAGCAGAAGCGCAGCCCAATAGAACCACTACTAGTAAAGAAATAAATGGCATAAATACAGTAGTAAATCACACTTGACCAAACAGCATTATTCATTTTTTGTAGGGACTTCATATCTTTTACCACTAGTAGTAGTACTAGTAGTAGTACTCGTAGTAGTATTGGTACTCCTACTAAACATTACTAGAATAAATAGGAGTACCACTACTACTACTACTATTACTGGTCCTAGTCCTAGTCCTACAAGAACATCCAGGTTCTCCTAGTAGCACTACTAGTATTACCAGTATTCCTGTTACCAGCACCACCAGTACTACTACTACTGCTCGTGGCATTAGTACTAGTACTCCAATACAATTAAAAAGGTACACTAAAGATCCATTTGATACTTGACAAAATGGTATATTCAGAATCCTCATAAAAAACTGGTGTAGACAGTGTCTTCAAAAATTATATTATTACTATTTTTTATAAAGTTATGACTACTTAAAAGTTGGATAGTTTTACTAGTATTATGCAGTAAAAATTAGAATTATAAAAATTCCTKAAGCTGATTTTTTAATTTTGGGACCGAGGATGGAATATGATTTTTCGAATCGATGCGCACCCCTCCTACTTTATGACCCCTGGTAGTAAGTATCAGTCGTACTGACCAAAAAATCATTCTTCAATACAGATTTGAAGAACAAGAAATGGTTCTCCAAACGTATTTTCCTTTTCGTTACTTAACGATCTTTCGCTTGAGTTCCCTGGAGAGAATGAGAATTTTTTGGACCTCGTCAGTCCATCCACTAAATCCATCCACTAAAAACTTTTGGTTTGATATGTTTGTTCCTTTCCATACCTACCGATCACTGATGCATGACAGATTACAGATGGCAGCGAAGACACGAGAGACTGGAAGGGAAAAAAATGAAATTTCACGAAACGACCGCGGGAAGTCGCAGCAATTGCACGACTGGTTATTAAAACGAAAAAAGCGAATTACGAAGTACGTACCTATCACACACCTGCAACAACCCCTACGATGCTGCTTGAACGCTGGCTTTCTTCTCGTGAGGACCAACCGAAAATGCTTCAGACGACGCAGAAGCCAAGGGCAACTCCAGAGCCGATCGAACGAGAGAAATGCGAGCCGCTTTCCATTGAGGAAGAAAAATCGTGCCAAGAGATGCTAAAGGAATGCGAGATGTTTCGCAGTCTTTCCGGCAACCAAATCAAGACGCTTGCGAATAGCATGAATGTTCGATCTTTCAAACGCAACGAAATCATTGTCGATCAGGGGAGCCCAGTCACCTCATTTTACTTAGTGAAGGACGGAGAAATACATCGTGACTTCATCGATCCAGACTCTGGCCGGCGACACAGAGTGGAGTTCGAAATAAAGGCCAAGTCCATCAACACAATGAGCATTTTGGGCGCCAATCTTGCTCACAATACCGTCAAATGCAACAGCAACTCGTGCAAGATATACGAAATGCCTCGCCAGCGGCTTCTGAATATTCTCATTAACAAAGAGCCAGAAATTAGTGTAGGCATTGCCGAATCGCTCTCGGGTCATGTGCGGCAAGTTTCAAAAAAATACCGTACCCCTCTACTAGAGCAGAAACAACAAATCATTCAAAGCATGCCAGCGGTAATGATAGCAGCAGGGATTGAATCGTATTACAGAAGCGCACTCAACGCGCAGGTAAACCGAGTTCTTACTGGGGTCAAGGCTGATCTCTTCCCCAACATGCACATCCAGGTACCAATGCGGGTAGCCTACATCGCAGGATTCAAAGGATTAAGGGCATACATGGATCGATACAACGAGCTAGAAGAACCCGTCGAATCCATCCAGAATAACGGCACAAGCAGGACTATCACTGTAGAAAACGAAACTGATACCACCAACCGCAATTTTTGGAGACGGTTGGGCATCACGATAGCACCAGGTGTGATCATGACACCATTGTCCAGTGTTTTAGAAGCAAGTAATGCTGGGCATATGAACAAGGAGCCTATGACAACTCGGTGGATGCGGGGTATCACAGCGAGGTGTGGAAGAGAAATTCTTTTTGGGCTTGGCTTGAATCAAATGAGCGACTATTTTCAGGAGCGGCTTCATTTTGATAACAGGCCGATGCTGAGCAACATGGTTGGGAGTTTGATGGGCGGCGTGGTAAGCGGCTATCTGAGCCACGTGCCACACAACATGTCGACGTACAAGCTATTAGAACCGCATCGATCGTATCTCGATTTATACAGAAATGTTTTTGTCGAACGGAGTGTCCCACCTTTCTTGGAACGATATTTGGCCCGTCAGGGTACTGGCGCTGCTGTTGATGGTGGTGCTGCTACTATTGTGACCTATAGCAACAGCCAACAAGCTGTGCGCTTCATGGCTGCTACAATATTTCCTAGAGGCCTGATGGTGCGAACTGTACAAATTGTTGGGTCGTTCATCATTCTGAATGGGACGATAAATTATTTTACCTTGTTACAGCAATCGCAGTAAGGAAAGGAAAATTTCAAATTGTAAACCTTTTGGATCGTTCTCTGATGCTCATCACGCACGAGAGCCTGCGTTTGTACTTGACAGAAGCCCCAAAGAAAGAAAATACTTCGCAATCGGTACTAAACGATAGCAGGTTTTGATAAGTTTAAATGCGTTGAAGATGGAGTTGCACTCTAATTCTATCCTTTAATAGCTAAGAAAAGATACGAATTCCACATTGGATTTTTGCTTCAGGTGAGAAAGTCTTGTCGGATACTACTAAAAAACAAAATGAAATAAACTCGAATTATGAATATGATTGGATTTTTACTTATGATGATTCAATAATAAATCTACAATTGCATACCCCATGCACTTTGGCAAAGGGTTATCGTATTCCCCACCCAGATCCGTAAATCTTGTCAACACTTCCATTTACCTCTCACTTTCAATCATTGAATAGTGAAAATGTTCGACAAGGCACTCAAGTGCAACCATAAGATCTTGAATGGTTTTCGTCGCGAATTCTTTGATACTTTCTCCMAAACCCTTCATCATTGACTTGTTCCACTTTTGTGTTTTGCATTCGAAAAAAAAAGAGCGAAGTCAACATGATTATGGGAATTGATGCATGCGTGAAGAGAGGCGGCGTTTTATTCGCTCGATCCACTTACTCAATTTAAGTATAATTGAAATAATACTGTACACTCCGCTCTATCGCAGCGGATTATCTTTCTTTTCAACACACGTCGCCCATCTATCTTTTATCGGACTAGTCATTTTAACTCAACAAAAAGGGACTATTGTTGCTGGTTTGATCGGCGCTAGGTCCCGAATCCATCAAGAAATAGAGATTCTCCTCGTCGATGTTGAGGGTATCTTCCACCTTAAATGGCTCGATACGGCACTCGATAGGAAATTCGAAAGGGCCAGTATTGACCACCCTCATGACGTTTGTCAAGATTGGATCCGGTAATTCCAGAACGCAGAAAAAGGGCCGTGCTTTGCCGTCTTCCGTTGATATCTCCATTACCTGCTTGACGTTGTTGGGACCCTCCAGAATTTCGATTCGGGCGTTGATTGGATTCTTCTCGCTGGTGATCAAAATCTGGACTCTCTGGATATTAGACTCTAACGGGACGACGTACGTCGCACCGTCACCCTGTACGGTTTTAGGGCGCGCCCTGTCCCAGAGTTGCTGCAGGGTGAACTTTGCAAGCTGGTTACCGTAGCCCTGGCCACTTCCATCGAGGTGGTTGCCGTTCTGGTACATATCGGCTTCCACGCACGCCTTCATGGGAAACTCACCCTCTCCAGAGTTTTTAACGGCAATAGCCGTGTGGCCGTTGTAGGGTGTGGCAATAAAGGCGCTCAGCGGCCGCGTATCACCGTTTTCACTATAGACAGATATTTTTTGTGGCGCGTTCTCTCCCTGCCAGAGCTCGATATCCGCTTTTAAAGGCCGCCCCTCCGTTTTGAGCAGGACCTGAACAGCCTCAAGGCGCTCCGAATTAAAGTCCCAGGTTTTGAGTGACGCACCCTGGATGGTTTGTGGAGCGTCAGTTTCCCAAATGTTTTTCACCTCTACTGCGGGAGAGACGATGGGATCGGTTGCCAATGTTATGGCACCAGCTGGTGACTGTGGCACTGGAGTGGCAATATCTATAACTCTGTCCTGCTCATCTCGGAACGGAGTAAAATCGTAAGGATTTGCAATGACTTCCGGCTCGGCATACTGGGGGTACGCCAGGTCCGGAAGACCTTCCTCCATGTATAGTTCGGTTTGGTAGTCTTCCTCTGCCAACTGGTCCTGCCGTACCGGAATGTCAAAGGAAGGCTCAGGAATGACATCGGAGGCAAAGGGGAAGGGTTGTTGTTGTTGTTGTTGCTGCTGCTGTTGTTGATACGTTGTTGTGGGGTAATTCTGTTCAACGTCCACACCGCTGTCCTCACCGTACCCACCTAAATAGGAAAAGGAGTTGAGTACTACAGCTTGTTCGAACGAGGGACGGGGGCCGTCAAAGCAATATACGATGCTTCGTTGCGGATGTATAAAGAATGCTTCCGTGGCCCTTTCTCCCTGAAAGAGAGAACCATCCAGGAGCAGCAACAGGAGTGGGGAATTTCTGGACGAAATCATGCTATGATTCTGTTGGTCTTGTTCTTATCCTTCCAACAGTTCGCGGAACTTTTTTCTCAAGTGGATTAGACGGGATTTGTACAGATAGTGGTACACTTGAAAGTCGAGGTCGATGCGTCTTCGGAAAGGAGATTCAGATAAGTATGTTAGGTGTCAACTTCGTAATGAAAGACAGAGTAGTGGATTGCATTGCAGTTAAGCACAGCAGGTGCAGGTGGAGAGTGTCAGAAAAAGGGAGTTCGTGAAAGTTGAATATTGGTATTGCCAGGTGACCCCTATCGTACTGTACTCTACGGTACGGTACAGCACTCCTATCAAAGTTCTGTACGTTAGGAACTTTCCACGGTGCGGTCCAGTAATACTCGGACTCCTCTTCTTGCGTTACCGTACGTACTCGTTCTGTACTTCGATGATTGACAGGTTTTCTTTCGTGAACGGTTCTTTCTCCGAAGCGCAAAAAACCCGCGCACCCATGTATGCATCGCCGAAATACGCATCTTCAGCGATCGCGCCTCCCTCCCCGTGTCTACGTATTTGTAATACAGTACTGTAATTATTTTGGGCTAGATAGTGACTCTTGCGGTACAACCAGTACGAGGTTTTAACATGAAAGGGGGGTAGCGTCGCCAACACAGCGTGGGTTTCGGCCCCTCCCGAAAACACATGTTTGGGTTTTAAGTGACATCATACGGGCGTCACTCTCTGCTGGAGATTGTGTGGGCCTGGCCGCCCCTCAACTGCAACAGCTGGAGAGCAGAAAAATAATTTTCGAACGGATAGTTTCGTACGGTTATCCGCGGGGCCAGCCAATGCTGCAACAATGCTGAAACAAAGTACTAAGTACAGTACAGTACAGTACTTTACTGTACTGTACTGTACTGTACTGCACTATTTCGTACGAAAGTCGTACAGTAGATTTTTTGCTGTCCTTTGTGCAGGGGAAATAGGGACTAGCATTTCATCATTATTTGGGTCACACTTTTTTCCATGTTTCTACCCACCATTCCCCATGATGATGGAGTTCGGAATGTAGCACAGTGAGTTTGGGTTATTCTGGTTTCGAAACAGCAAATTCTTGTCTTCCTCTTTCGCATCGGTTAGTACTGGTAGTACTATTAGTAGTAGTAGTAGGAGAGAGGATTCTTGCGGTGCGTGTCTCCTAGTACTACTAGTACTAGTAGTAGTACTAAAGGAGGAGGAGGACCTCATCATAGTATAGATTACTACTAGTTTGTTGTCACCACCTATCATGCCATTGCTAGTAGTACTAGAACACCACCACCAGTCAATAAGCTGCAGTACAAAATCATCACTACTACTTCATAAAAACATTTATCCAAAACTACTAGTAGTASTACTACTACTAGTATCTCCTCCTGTTGTGTTGCTTTGATCAAAGAACTGCTTCCAGTGTTCCAAGTGAAAGTGGCCAATCTCTCCATTTCTACTATAGCCCATTCATAAAGCTCCCTTTCAGCAACTAATGGTATGTTGTGGTCTCTCATAATCTTCATTAGGAGCTTTATTTTTACCTTCATTGTTGGGGAAGAAAATAACCTTTTTTTAGCCAACAGGTGTTTTGATTGTTACGTCAACGACATGATCAATAGAGCTGGGCCTTTTATCAAGAAAATTGTCAAGATTGCACATGTAAATCAACAACATTCATTGCAGACTCTTTCAACACACAGTTGACTTCTTCTTCAACTGAAGGGTTATACTACTAGTACATCACTTCTTGTTGATAATCCAGATTCTCCAGCATGCCACTACTAGCAAGTCGTCCTTCATGGGTATTGGTTAGGGCAAACTGCTTACTACTCAGCATGTCCACCTTGTCCTTYGTAATTTTGTACAGAGAAGAACTGAAATCATTGAACCTGTTACATCTTTAGAATCCTCATTAAAAAATGGTCCAGACGGTTTATTCAGAATTTATAGTACTACTACTACTAGTAACTACTAGTAGTGCTGGTGGTATTTTTGATAAAGCTATTGGTTGTGCTTAAAAGTTGGATAGTTTTACTTGTTTTACCATACTGTAAAAATGAGGGGGAAAACCCTTTTTGGGAGCTGACTTTTTCTTATTTGTATTGGAATATGAATTTCCAACCCTAAAAATTTCGACTCCTGCCTATGGTTGGTGCATACCACTACAGTACTGCAATGAGACCAGTAGAATGGGCAGTATGCACTAGTACTACCATAGCTCCTCATGAAGTGCAACAAGAAGATCAAAGTGAATGGAGACACCACAGATTGCAACTAATATTAAGATATATGTAGAACAGCAATTATTACCTTCTAGGAGTAATAGTGGGAAAGGAGTGGAAAGCACAACTCCTCTCTCCTAGTCACTGTGTTGGTGGTGCTTGTGAAATCAACAAGAACAAGAACTAGTAGCTACTACTGCTACTACTACTACTACTACTACTACTAGTGATAATATAGTAGTAATAATCATACTAGTACTTCAACTACTACTACTACTACTACTACTACTACTACTACTACTACTACTACTACTACTACTACTA